TCTTCTATTGGACTGTCAGCAGCACTTATACTGGGTGCACATCACTTGTACTGACTGTTCTGCCCATACGGTGACTGTAGCAAAGTGACACAAAGTGATCCACCCATCCAGGGACTAAGGCATCCTTACACCAACTCTTTGGCCCGTCCAGCGACTGCGGCGTTCTTGTGCAGAGACTGTTCTGCCCATCTGGTGAATTTCATATTTTCAGATGTTGCAGCTTCTAATAACTAATATATTCTACTGTCTCCATAATCCATCCCTCCATAATGGCCCCCGTCTGTCTGTTTGTCTGTCTTTCAGGTATGAAGAAAGATTTAGAGTCCCTGAGAGAGGAAGTCAAAGTTTTAGCTAAAGAGATTCGAGGGAAATTAGAGAGTAAGTAAATGGCCTAATCTGTACTCCAGTTACTCCTCTCTGTGGATGTCTATGTGACCAGTTGGACTGTCTGTTCAATGTGCCGTGGTTTGCACAACTTCTGTTTGTCCATGTTTAGTATGTTTAGGATAGCTCCCGTCTCTCCACTCTGGCATGGTCATCACAGCTCCCGTCTCTCCACTCTGGCATGGTCATCACAGCTCCCGTCTCTCCACTCTGGCATGGTCATCACAGATCCCGTCTCTCCACTCTGGCATGGTCATCACAGCTCCCGTCTCTCCACTCTGGCATGGTCATCACAGCTCCTGTCTGTCTGCTTCGCCATGGCCAGCATAGCTCCTGTCTGTCCGCTTCGCCATGGCCAGCATAGCTCCTGTCCGCTTCTCCATGGCCAGCATAGCTCCTGTCTGTCCGCTTCGCCATGGCCAGCATAGCTCCTGTCTGTCCGCTTCGCCATGGCCAGCATAGCTCCTGTCTGTCCGCTTCGCCATGGCCAGCATAGCTCCTGTCTGTCCGCTTCGCCATGGCCAGCATAGCTCCTGTCTGGCCACATTGACATGACCAGCATAGCTCCCGTCTGGCCACATTGGCATGACCAGCATAGCTCCCGTCCACATTGGCATGACCAGCATAGCTCCCGTCCACATTGGCATGGTCAGTCAGACTGCGTCCTACCACTATTTGCATGTTTTGTCTTCTATCTCTCGGTCTGTATGTCACTAGCTTGGTAGTGATTTCTCTCTGTCCTCTCTTAGGGCCGATGTTCAGAAGTTCAAGGTCTTTTGAGTTGAATTTTCATTGCATGTATACAGTGTAAAATACAAGTCTCTGTCTAGTGAAGCTCCTCCCACTTCTTGATAAGCCCCACCCATTTTACAGACGCATTTTTGCTGGTTCAATACACTGCACCACCGCAACATAAGCACTGGGGAATTGTAGGAATGGGTCCACCTACACCCTCTGTGTGGTCAGTTTGTAGAACCATTGCTATGTCCTTAATGTCTGTCCAGCTGATCTCTGACTCCGTTCTGTGTGCCCATTTAAACAGTCTTGATTCTCTTATCTTGCTTTTTTATTTTATTTTTTTAACCTTTTATCTGCTGACACTCGAAGGTGTAAGATGACCCAGGGGTAAGTCCTCTATCCATAATTCTCTTCTCCTGAGTAGTTTCTTAGTATTATTGTTTAGTATTTGTCTGTCTCCTGCCTGTCTCTGAAATGGAGGACTTCAGAAATCACCGTTTGTCCCCCAACCACCATCTTGGGGCTGTTTCTGTGTCTCATACAGGTCCTCTTCCTTTATTGTAGAAATCGAGATGAAATATGACGACGATCAAGTGAGAGGGTCAGTCCACAAGAGAATGAAGAAGACGCAGGTACCGTTAACATGTAGAGGGGGGTGTGCGTGTATGGAGGGATAGAGAGGGAGGGAGGGATGGAGAGGGATGGAGAGAGAGAGAGGGATGGAGAGAGAGAGAGAGAGAGAGGGGGGGAGAGAGAGGGAGAGAGGGAGAATAGAGAGAGGGGAGGAGGGAAGGAGGAATGGGGAGAGAGGAGGGAGGGATGGATGGAGAGAGGAGGGAGGAATGGATGGAGAGAGAGGGGGGGAGGGAGGAATGGAGAGAGAGGAGTGAGGGATGGATGGAGAGAGAAGGAAAGGGAGGAATGGCGAGAGAGGAGGAGGGATAGATAGATGGATGGATGGAGGGAGGAGGGATGGATAGAGGGAGGAGGATGGATGGATGGATGGATGGAGGAGGGAGGGATGGAGAGAGGAGGAGGAGGGATGGATGGATGGAGAGAGCAGGAGGAGGGA